TAAAGAGAAATTTAGAATTAGTGATTGCAGTGTTTGCTTTCCACAGAGATAGTTGCAACAGTAGCTTGTAAGAACAATCTTGATCCTATTAAATTCAATGAAAAATTACTCTGAGACCTTTAACAGAAATGATCACCCTAACAAATAATTTTAGGATGTTCTAAACATATTTGGAAAATCAAGATAACCAGTTCCCATTTTAACAAAAATTAATCATTTTCTGCACAAGCAAAAGAAAAAAACAGTACCTGTTATATATTTATTATATATAATTGTGCTTCTCCCTCTATCTGTTATATATAATTGTACCTTTCCCTCTACCACATTTTCTAATCACCTAATCCTGAGTTAGTTCATTTCTGGACTTTTATACTATTTACATATACTGGATCTTGAACTGTATTTAAATGGGCTTAAGTAATAAATCATTTTGGATCAGAATACAGCCTTAGCATTGGGGGTTTTTTTACTGGTTTGAGTGGGTGAATAGTATGATTTACAATGCAATCCTATACATGTATATTCATGACAGAGTGGGGATTTTTGAACCCTTATCTCCCAGGTCCTAGTCCAACACTCTAACCCCTATACCACACTGGTTTCCTAGAGTACTTCTGTTATGGAGCAGCTGTATAAATTAAATAGGAAAACAAACATGAGGAAAGCAAAATGCCACTTAAGAGAAGGATCCAACACATTTTCCTTGATGCTTGAATTTGTTTTATTGTGGATTGTTTTATTTAATGTTTCAGTGTGTTGCAAACTGCTTTGAGATTTCTTCTTTTTTAAAAAATAAATCAGTGTGGTGCAAGCAAGTTTTTATTCTTAAGGTCTGGCCCAGATAAAAAAAAGTTGTGCTTACCTACTGTTAAGTCGTTCATTAATTTCAAAGGGTTTTCTCTGAATAGAACATTGGAAACAACCTAGTGTGTACAATTGCAGCCATAGTGGAATTGAGTGTTTAGGTGCAGAGAAGTGGATTTGTAAATGTTCATAATTATTTACTACCCCAGTTTGATCTTACACATTTTTGAAAGATGTGGGGAGTTTTCACTTGCAAGTTTTCACATGTCTTTCAGCTTCTTTTGAATTGTCTGGATTCATGCGCGACCATTGTTAATGAAAGGCAGTAGGGAGAAAACAGAGAAAGTGTTTTGTTGCAAATACAAAAATCTTATATTCTCATATTAGAGATAAGAGGAAAAGCAAAACACACTTTTTTTTATTAAGGAAAACACCTTTTCTAGCTATGTGAATAAAGACCCGGTGCCACCGTTCATTAGGCACACGCGCGCACACAAAATTAAAACTTGGCAGATCTTAACAAGTTATGTGAATAAACCCAGAATATGGGGTCTTCTGGAAGAGCCATAAGATTGACGAAATCTGGAATTGTGCAGCACTTAACCAATTTAAAGCGCTGCAACTGAGGTGGTTTTGGGAAAGGGCAGGCATAGCTGAACACGTCCTTAGGTTGCTTATCAACAGAACCAGTTGTTATTTTGCCTTTGAACCCTCAGAACTCAAGCTGACGGTGTGTCTGTTTTAACCCAGAGGAGAGAAACTGCCTCTCCCACCTTCCAGCCCCCTTGAGAGGAAGGGCGCCATGAAGCCGCTGCGGGAGCCTCGGTCTCTCTGAGGGCGAAGGGGCTGCTCGTCCGAGGAAGACGGAGGGTCGCCGCCGCGGCCAGCAGGCGCCTGCTCCGACCCGAGCAGGCCACGGGGCCGACGCTCCGCGCAAGGCGAAGAAGAGGAGGGAGCCGAGAAGGAGGTGGAGGCTGCCGAAACCTCTTCCATCTGAACGCTTGTTCAAACGTCTCCCCACCCTGAAGCCAGAAGCAGCAGCCTCGAAGCCTTTGTGGGTTCATTCCCCCAGTCCCCGGCTCGCATAGAGCCAGGAATCCGCACGGCGGGTAAAACGGTTGAACGAGCTGATCCATTTCAGCCAACAGAGGGAGGGGCAGTTGTTGTTACGGTCAACGACAGTAAAGACACCGAGTACACCTCACCTACATCCACGCAACTCTGGTTTCCTTCTTTAAGGGGATTTCCCGACCACTCTCCACATGGAGAGCACTGCAAAATAATAATAATGTGATTCCCCTCCACCCCGCTTGCAGGTTTAAGGTGGTACGGTCCATCCCTCTCGAGGCTTCAGCGCCGCCCAGGGACAGCGGGTGACCCCAATGGCTTTGCGTTAGTGGCGGCTAGAGGTTCATGAAGTGCGGCAGCGCCTGCTTCTCCCTTTGACCGACTGTCATTTCTTCCTGCCTCATAGGCCTAACAGCATGCGGCCTTCCCTTTATGTATGAAGAAAACTCGTTATGTTCTGAAGGGTACAGGGCAACGCATGCATCATAGTAGTAAAAAAATGGTGGAAACTGTAGCCCAACATTTGGAAGGCAGCACGTCGGCTGTCCCCAACTTAGGGAATGGCCCACAAAGTAATTTTCCATTCCCTCGTCCTATCTGCAGCCCCCTCCCCCCAAAAACTTGTGAGGAATTTCTTTATGACTATCTGCAGAATGTGGCTAGGGAAAACTGAAAACACAAGTTTGTGCAGGTTTCCTATGCTGGCTTTTCTAACAGCCCCACTACAAATCGTTCTATCTTCCAGATTTGGGGGTGGGGGGTTCAAGTAGCTGCAGGGAAAGGACCAGGAAATTTCCCTTTCATGAACTTCCCGCAGTTTCACCAAGCAAAATACACTTTAAACCCAATTTACACTACAGTATTTGCTTGCAGCCTTATACTAATCTGACGTTGTTAGAAATGCAGGGGGGATGAGGATAGGGGCTTGAGTTTATGAAGAACGTTAGCATAAATTCCAGCTAAAGATCTAGCAAACCAGCCAAGGAGAAGCTGCGATGAATAGAGAAAATTTTTGTATAGTGGTACCTCGGGTTACAGACGCTCCAGGTTACAGACTCTGCTAACCCAGAAATAGTACCTCAGGTTAAGAACTTTGCTCCAGGATGAGAACAGAAATCGTGCTGTGGCAGCAGGAGGCCCCATTAGCTAAAGTGGTACCTCAGGTTAAGAAGAGTTTCAGGTTAAGAACAGACCTCCAGAATGAATTAAGTTCTTAACCCGAGGTACCACTGTACTGCAGTAGGGATGGTATATATGCATTAGAGATAGTGGTTAGGTACTTCAGTCATAAGCATTGGCCTTTCTGCCCTCAAAGCAGGTTTAACATTTTCCCCCCTCCAGGATACATTGTGTCTCAAAGGGGTTCTCATTTCTTCAACACAAGTAGAGATTTTTAGCACCACTGCCCTGCCCTTTATCTGTAATTAGTACCAAAATGTCTGGCTTTCACTTCAAATCTAAAATATCAATGATGCAGCCCATGTAACAGATGTTAATGTCCCCTTGTGCAACAAGACTTTTCTCTCATCCTGCTCAACCCTACATCTTCTCTGGAAATTTTAGAGGGCCTGCAAGTGAGAGGAGAGATATCCTATGAGGATGATTTGGGAGAGCACAGGGAAAGAAAGCCTCATTGGAGGCTTGTGCTAATTGAACAACTTTGTTGGATACAACCTGCCCTATTTCCAGTTCTGATGTACACTATTCAGAAGCAGTTCCAAGGATGCAACCATAATATTCAATTAAGAGCCAACTGGATAAAAGCCAAAGGTCCATCTAACACAGTATTGCTCTCGTGGTGCACAGGTGCCTCTTCGCCCACAAGCAGACCTGAAAGCATTAGAACTTTCCTCACTTGTAATCCACAGTAACTCTATTCAAAAGCATACTACCTCAGACTGTGGAAGCAGAATATAGCCTTACTCCATCCATGAATTGGTCTAATCCTCTTTTAAAGCTATCCAAGTTAGCAGGCATCACTACATCTTGTGGGTGCGATTTCAACAATTCAACTATGTACTGTGTGAAATTATTTGGCCTTCCTCAAGTTCTACTACTGCTAGAAAGGGAGACAACCACCACTCTTGTACACTTTCTTCACAAAATGCATAATTTTGTACACTTCCATCAATGGCCTCCCTTGCTTACTTTTTCTTAAACAGAAAGCCCCAAATGTCATAACCAGTCGGAAACCAATTTTTCACAAAATGACTTGTCAACAAGAAAAGTACAAACAACATTGTCTCCAATGGACCATTAGTACTTCAAGTAGTTACTTCATAATTAGCTTTAATTTATTTGAAGCAGAATCCCATTTCATACTCAGAAGATTTCAGCCAAGTTACAAATGCACAATTGTGACAAATGTGAAATGGAAGCACCTCTAGAGTTCCAGTGGAAGCAGATAATTCATCCTGCAGAAAGTAATATTCTTCTATAGCTTTATTCTTGACTATATACAACCATTTGAAGTGCTACTGAAACTGGGCTTCAAGCCACAGTTACAATAAATACATTAGAGCAAAGGAACAAATTCTAAAATTCAGCAAGGCCATTAGTTCAAAACAAGTTAATGTAATTAATCTTCACTGAATGTCACTAGTAGAAAGCAGTTGTCCAAGTACCATAAAATTTCTAGTTATGTAAAACTAGAACATGTGATTGAAATTGGATAAAAAAGTGTAGCAGTCAGATCCTAAACAGGAACTCAAGTGCATAAAGTGTCACTGGCATTAGCAAGTTAATTTCTTTCGATAGAAACAGTGCTTAGGACAATTCACTGTCCAGTACATGCTGTCACTAAGATGAGTGAATGATTGTGTCATAAATATCAAGTCACACAATTCAAGTATTCTTCTATTGTGTCTAGTACAGTATATTTCGATGTAGCATGACTGGAATGGAGCCCGGAGGCAAACATATTTAAATACATTTAAACATATGTCTACATCTGTTATTGAGAACCTCAAGCACATGTAACACTCAGTTTATTTACTTTGGATACAATCCAGATACAAAATGACAGTGCTTACAGTAAAGTGGTAATTTATCATGTAAACACATTTAGAAATGTCTTTTGACAGAAAATTCAAAGCAGCTGAGTATGGCAAAATTGTGCACATCAAAACCTAGCTTACAAGTTCTGGCTGTACATTTATTCTTTGAAGAACCTCTTCAGGCATACAAAACACAGGATTCACAGGCTTAATTTGTTCTTCTCCCAGTAATGATAGTCCAGCAATTCCAAACAAGGTATGAAATGGATCCACCTACAACATACCAAGGTGCATATTAAATACACAAGGAGGTTTTTCCATGGTTTCGCACTTTCAAAAGGTTAGTGGGTGTGCATTAATAGATTTGAAGATTTAAATAAGGCAGAAAGCTGCAATAAGATATTTTATTGTCTGACGTCTCTCAAATTCCGAATAGACTGTGAGATTAAAGTTAACTGTTTGAATTTATAGGCAACTGATACCCAGATTGCAATAGCCTAGAAGCCAGCCAAAAATTCCAATAGCTCTGTTGCTTCCTTTAATTGACACACGCTTAACAAGAACCGCCTAAAAGGCTCTATGACAGAAGAGACAGGGAAAGCACTTCCTCTGTAGTAAGATGCCCATGCATATTCAAGAACGTAACACCTTCTAGTGACAACCCTTGTACAGGGTTTCATTCCAGAGGATCCTGTGGCCTTTAGATGAGATGATTATAGAGCTCCAAGAGACTGACAGAGGGAGGAGCTAAAAAGTATCCATGTTCAGTGCATGAAGCCTTTTGGATCTCAACTTACAGGCCCAGTATTTTCAATATATCTGATTAGCTATATCCTATACAGAACATCCCCCCCCCCCCAAAGCAGTTATCTATTAAGTATCATCTGGGCCTGGGCCTAAATCAGCTCAACTTCTGATATGAAATTATATCTGTTGCCTTATCTTCTTGAGTGATCCAGAACCACTACATCTGTTTTTGTAGAGTATGGCTCCTTTTAAAGATCCTCAAATTTTGCATTATTAGTTTAGAATTGTCAAACATACATCATGACACCTGTACCTTGGTTGTCATACGCCTTGGTATTCGTATGTTTCGCCTCCCGAACGATCAAAACCCGGAAGTGAGCATTCCGGTTTTCGAACGTTCTTTTGGAAGCCGAACATCTGATGCAGCTTCCGCTACGGCTTCCGGCGCACCTGCGCAATCGGGAGCCACGCCTCGGATTCCGAACGTTTCAGAAGTTGAACGGACTTCCAGAACGCATTCTGTTTTAAAACCAAGGTACTACTGTAGTTTAATAGTGCCTCTGAGGCCTTTCCTTGATACCCACAAAACATCCAAGTTCTGCCTCCCCCCCACATTGCCCCCTGCTCGTGAGGGTGGCCACTTTTATTCCTTGAAAAGTACATCAAGATGAAGTTAGGAGAGTGACACTCTTTTCTACTTTTTCTTCCAAGTGTATGTGCTTTTCAAGGCTTAAGATTGCTTATAAAATTGATCTTCTGATTCAGTAGAATCAAAGTACACATGCACACACACCTTTGCTGTGCGTCTGTGTGAGAGAGCGCAACTCAGAGGTGACAAAAGCGGGTGGTACCCCCCCCAGCACTCCCTCAAAAATTCAAGTTCTGCCCACCAGCTGAAAAATGTTGGCAAACCCTGGTTTAGTTAAATAAAAAGTATTGAAGATTAGTAACTTGCCATATCTCCTGGCCTGTCAGCAAATCCTCCGGTCTCCTCATCCTGGCAAGCCAAGATAAAACTGCGCAATTTCTCTCGGTCAATCCAGTGCAACCTGCCAATAATCTTCAGGGATGCCAATACCCACCATGAATAGCATACATCCGGTAACTAGCAAATATAATAATGGCAATATAGGTTAGGTCAATTGCAATTATAATCTCAAGATCGGGTTAACTGTTGAATGTAGTGAGAAACAACCACATAAAGACACAAAGGGTTGTTGTGTAGACAGATTGAAATTAATATATTTAATTTTATTTACTGCATTTGTATACCACCTTTCTGCCAAGACAGCCATAGTGGTTTACAATTTTAAAGTATTAAGACAAATGTTGTAATATGCAAATGCTAAACATATTGATGAATCTACTCACGAGTGTGACTTAGTGGGATAAAACTCACATCGTATCTTTCAGGAAGTCTATTCCGTTTCAGTAGAATTACACCCAGTTTTCTTTTTGATTCTATCCTTCCACTGAACATGTGCACAGCTAAATTTAAACCGTCCTAAGATACAATGGGCTATGCTTATGTTCCTAATTAAACAAACTAAGATAACGGACTAAAGATATATATAAAAATACTCAAATCCTGATGTCATGTCATACCCTTAAAAAAAATGTGAAATATTTTGCCATCCTATTTTCCACTAGAACTAGAAACATTTCACAATGCTTGCCTAAAGCAGTGATGCAAACAAGGACTTTCTGAGTGGCTTGCCTCCATAAGCTTGCATCAAACAGTAAATTGCTAGAAGTGAGAAAGACTAAGGTTCTTATTCATAACCCATCAATACAGTGGGGCCCATAGCTCCAAAGACTTTTTATTTTAGTGCTGTGACAGAATTGTTTATGTGCGGGAAGCACCAAGTTTGCCAAACCTGATCCCGAATATAATAGACACATTAACTGTCTTTCAGTGTATTTACTTGCTGCAAGCTATCTTTTGCTTAATTGTTGTACCTTTTTTTAACTGTGCATATTAAGAAGATTATGAAAGAGGAATCCAATTCTACAGACTATGATCAAAGTTAAAATAGTCATAGTATATTTACCAAAATCACTCTTTAGGAAATCTACTTATGGACTACTAGTTCTACTCCCCCACCACAGGCCCCTCCATCTATACAGTATATAAAATATAAAATGTAACTTAATACCTTCTCTGGCCTTCCATTAAGACCACCAGATGGCAACTGGCGTTCACAAAGCCACCAGCCTAGCAGGTCAGCGTTTATTTGGTGTAACTGGCCAGTTATGGCTAGGAATCCTGTGCAACAATAGATCTAAAATTACAGATATAAAGTTCATGTCTATTTAAAAATATAGCTACTCAGGTGAAACAAAGGAAGATTACAATGCAGAATCCCAACCAATTGTGCAAAAATGTTTACTTAAGAAATTAGTCAGCATCTTTCATTAATAAAATTCTAAATCAAAATTATATATTGAGACACATCTAGAAATGTGTAGCATTCAGCAAGATAATGGACCAGTCTGCATGCAACTTTAAACCATGGCTTAGTTCGATAAGGACAATCCACAACTAGTTTTGAGCTCAAGCACTCTCTCCTTCACCCCCTGTTCTTTGGAATGGCCACTTGGAGATCAGAAGCTTCTGCATCTTTTAGGTTAAGCGGTTTAGCATTACGTTAGAAAAACAACAACTGTGCTTAATATAACTGAAGTTGGTGAAAACAAGCTAGGTTCATAAACCAATTTCAAACAGACTAAAGTCACTGAACAATTTGTTTAGATTTGAATGTCACAAAAAGCTGCAGTAAATGGAAGTGAATGCTTCCAAACATCCACCCGACTTGTGGCAGTGCCAGAAGAACGGGAAAATGAAAGAACTGAGGCTCACCCTTTTAAAACCAATATATGTTTTGTGTTTGGTGCCCATACCTATGAATACAGAATTTAGCATGAGGGGACAAACACCACTGCAGCACCAACAGGTGGTTCTGTGCTGTTAAGTTTTGAACATGGAAGGATGGGTTACTCTGAGGTTCTAGGCACACCACCTTATGTATAGAGGCGTCTTACTTGCCAATCAGATGCCATGGTGGGACCTCCAAAGATAAAGCAGGTAAGATCCTAATTAGAGTTCCTCCTCCAGCTTAATACTTTAGTTTTAATACAGTTACTTTTGTTTTCACAGGTGAATATAAAAATACATAAGCTGCTCTGTTTTAATACTGGACACCTAACCGAGTTCAGTTTTCCTATTTCAGACTCCAGTTCCTAGCCTCCATCCAAATAAATAATGGAAATATTTAGCACCACGGGAACCAGGATAGACATCTCTACAAATCACACCCTTCCTTCCTCCATCCCATGAAGTGCAACATTTGCAAATTGTCCTACTTCTAGGCATATTTGGGGGAAATAGTTCCCTGTTGCATTACATTATACAGGATTTAGGACATCTTAAAGGTTTGCATATCTGAAGTTTGTGAAGCTGATAAATACTTGAGTTAAAATAACTAAACTGAACAGAAATAGGTTAGTATGTTAATTGGTGTCAACAGGCATCAATAATCCCTTGCAAGGTTTATTTAAGAAGCAGAACTACTTACCTGCCCTGCATGAGATTCAGATCCTGGTCTACAACCAAATCCTCCATCAAAGTTCATACAGGACAACACAAATTCTACTGCTTTGTCCACATCAATTGCATCCAGTTTCCCCTGAAAGGCAGTAAAATCCTTGTAATATGTTTCCTCCATTTTAATACCAAGGATATTCAACTCCAAACATACTAGTGCTATCCCTGTAATAATACTTCTGTGTGAAAGTCGTTAATGTCTGCAATTTTCACTTGAATGGCATGGGGGGGGAACGTTTCTTAGAAAATTGGCAGATGAACCTGAGATTCATTTGTTCTCTACAGGTCACTAGACAAGCAAGTATCCCAAACTTATCCCTGCCTACAGCTCCTTACCACTGGGGGGCTGGGAGAAGCTTCCTTTCACAACATATGATAAAGGAAACAAATATGACAAAGATCATGTAATATATTTCTATAGCACAGTACTGTTATTTACCAAATTCTTCTTTTTACAAAAAACCTGTCTCTCATGTATGAACCACAGCACACAAAAGCTGGAACAATGCTATCCTAAGTACACTTTAGATGAGCAAAATAAGGAGGACCACAGAATACCGCACTCTGAAGACCTTGTATACTAGGGTTTTTGGGATAGAAAATACCAAAATGTGATGCTGTACCATTTATTCATTAAAATACTTTGCTTTTGCCTTTCCACATAATGCTCTTCTAACCTCCTCTCCAATGTAACCATACTGACTTGGTCAGTACAGAACAACTAACATGTCATGAGTACTTGCTGCCGTTTGCAACTCTGGAAGTATTTCAAGTTGCTAGCTTGCTTGTGATATGCTGGAGAACTTCTTACCTCCTAAAGGAAATACAGTTTATTTGAAAGTCTTCTTTGCCCACTGTAATTTAAACATGTATTTCAAAATCACGACTGCCACTGATGAAAGGACTCACCAAGAGAGCCAACGTTGCAACCGCACAGAAGGAAAACCGCGTGTCTATTTCTCCTGCAGGAAGAAATAAATGAAGTTTTCATCTTGACAAAGCATTTAAGCAATTCAATAAACAAACAGATGCAAATAAGCATTTTAAATGGAATTATTCCCTTCTTCCTATTTTCTAATTCCCCCAAAGATTACTTTCATTAAATATTTGTTATGTAGCATCACAGAAACGATTCTGTAGTGATATGGAGTAACCTCCCCAAATTATTTTCATTGTAAAACCTTTCAATAAGCATATCAGCACTTTCTTAATCACTAGTACTAGTAAAGTACTAGCTTGATCTGCTTGTAGATAAAATAATAAGCTGAAAATCATGGGATCTTAAAAGCATTAAAGGTGTAACAATATTATTCTCAGATCTCAGAGTAATTCTAGAGCTAAAGTGGTGACAGACATCAACTTTACTATCAGATATATACCAAAAATCATCACAGACCTGAGAAGCTACTGAATCAGTAAAAATGGATATGGGAATACTATTGACAACCCCTCTAAAACTGAACTTTCACACCGCAGATTGTGCATGATACAAAAGGAAAGCCAAACATGTGGTTTTGCATTCTTTGAAGGGAAAAAAAGACATCCAATAATGCAAGCTAGAAAATGTTACCCCATATGTCTCCAGCAAACGATCCATCCTCTTTCTGTAGGTTCTTTACATAATCAACAATTTTATTTACATCAACAACCTGGAGACTGTCATAGAGAGTTAGAATCTGAAAAACAAAACCAATCAAATTGAATGTTAGTGTATTCCAGAACTACTTCAAATTGTTTTCAAATATTTGCGTATTTCAAACTCCACCCCAAACATCATGAAAAGAATTAACTTTTTATTGCTACATTGTTTTCCCTTCGGTGATGCATTCTTCCCCTATTTTCATGAAATATTCTCAGGTCTCAGAGTAATTCTAGAGCTATGTGTTAAAAACCACATCAACTTTAGATTCAGATAAAGATGTTAAATCTCATCACTGACCCAAGCAGCTGTGTTCATGCTTTTATTGCACAAAATGTGTCAAACTCTGCCCACTACCCATCCTAATTTCTGGCCTTCAAGCTCAAAAGCTTCCAAAGAAGCTAGTTGAACCAAGTGTTTCAGTATTTGTAGAAAAGGCCTGCAATAACATTGCTTTTTAGCCAGCTACAGATGCATCTCCGAAACAGGATGTACCCACACTGATACTATTTAATTTTCCTACAATATAATCAATATTATAGCCTCAGAAAGTTCACCATTAGTAAAGATAAATTAATTCACTAAACCAATACTATTACTCATGAGCTTACCTGGACAGCACTAAGTGTGTATAATAGGTGAGGATCATGACCTATGCTGGCACTTATGCCACCACATTCACGCTGGCACGATTTGATAAATGCCAGAATTTCTTCTTTGCTCATCCGATGCAGCTGCCCCATGAGATCCATCACAGTCAGTCCCCAATAGACACCACTCATTCGTAAATATTCTGACATACAGTATTCCTAAAAAAAAGTATAACGGATTAGTTCCTAAAGTGATATAGTATAAAACTGACGCAACTTCGCATTTAGTAGTTTCAGAAATCCCCCAAACACCAAGCTGCTTGATTTCATTCCCTTTAAAAACAGTTTTAAACAGCCAGTTTTAAATTGCCCCTTATTTTTATACTCACTTTTAGCACCAATCCAGCACAAGGCCTTGCTAGAGAAGGCTCCCTATATCTGTTTATGGCTCATATTTGTAAATGACCATTTTTAAAATCAAGGGAGATGTATACTGAACTGTATTCTAAGAACTAATTTTTTTTAAGTGAAGTGCTTATAAATGTTTTGATCTATAAATTGCTTTGAGTGTTAAAGCACAATACAACAGCTTTCAACCTCCGCAGCAGCAGAAGAAATATGGATGCTACATAACACAGAAGTACTTACTGCACATTTATTGCTCAAACTTTTCCAGTCACTTAAAACCAAGTTGCCCTTCATGCTAATGTTTGCAGATAGGACACTGGTAAGTTGCACTATGATCAATTTAACAATGTTCTCCCTTGAGAGGCTTTCAATCATTACAACAGATTCATATCAAGATTAGAACAATTTATAAAATAATACTGTGAACTTGGCTCTTAATATTTGCTTAAATTCCAACAAGTGGAGGTTTCAGAATAGCTGCCTAAATATTTACTGGCTTGGTGTGCACAAAATTGTAAACTATGGTTTGTTCTCATCTTGTTTTTGTGGTCTGTTTGGAGGGAAACAAACTATGGATGCTAGGTTTGCATGCAATGCCTACACTCATTTCCTCATGGTAAAGCAAAATGTGGTGGGCAGACACAATTTGAACACTATGCACAAGCACACTTGCTCATTCCCAGTAAGCCAGTTTGCTTAATTCTGATTTACTGTTTTATGCAAACTACACCACAGAATATATAATCCACTGTAGCTGCCTTCCTATAAACACTTACCAAGGAGTCAGTCCATTGAACTAAGGTGGGTTTACTTCTTTGTAGACATGTATAAGTTTGCCAGATTCAGCACAAGTGCAATACATTTTTTTCACATTCAATAATCAACTTAAATAAACGTTTCTTAGGTCTCAGATCAATAAGTATATCTTCAACTTTGTAGTCAGATAATACATGCCAGGTTACATCACCGACCTAGAGAAACCATTTGCACTTTATGTCACAAATAAACCTACTCTTTTACTCAATATATTAATAGTCATATGAACTATACTGTAATAAAAGAGTTAAAAATGCTACCAAGCTTATATTACGGTACTCACATAATCATCTTTCTTTGTTCCATAAGCTGCTATGTAGTCCGCATGTTTTTCTAATAATAATGAAGTTGGTGCATCATTTTTTATTATGACATCTTTTTGTGGCGTTCCCTTAAAAATAATATGGTAAAATTATTTTCACATTTTCCCCTAAATCTGATTGCATGTAACATGTCAGACATAAAACGAATTAAACAAATGGCAGAAGTGATGTGTGCATAAACTTCAGGAATTTATCAAGATCCTTCATATATTTTGCTTCTTTGGTTTTGTAGTAAAGAAACGCTACTGTACCTACGCAATTGGCTATAAAAGTTTCGTACACTATGTAAGCATTTATGCCTCTAAAACATATTTTCCAAGTGATGTTCTGGCACCTTTTTCTAGGAAAATAGCACTGTATACATCATAAATAAAACGAATTCTCATAATTAATGCTTAGTATAGGCAGAATAAAAAAAGAATGGGGAGTATTTAGGAAAGGCTATTCTAATTTCTAATTCTAGGAGCAGGTGATTACCCTGTATTACATCTTCTTGACTACATGTTCCCCAACATAAATAAGAAATGTGAAATCCAGCAATAATACCAAAGTGCTGACTCATAGGCAATGTACATTCACCTCTACCATGCTTACACAACATGGAGAATTTGGCAACTACAAACATATGCAAAGTCAGACTTTGTATTTCTTTGTACTAACCAATATATATTTTTTTAGAACAAGGCATCCACTTTTACTTATACAACATCAAAAATCACTACAAACTATACAAAACCTTAAAAAGACAAATTTTCCCAAAAGAACAAAGTAGATGGAAGGGGCATGTAAAGAAAGAAGAAAATAAAGATACAGAAGAGTAAGACCCTGAAAACATTTGAAAATAACTGCAAAAAGCAGTACAAGAGGAGCTGAAAAAGAATTTACGCTCATTAAATGAGCAATGTAAAATTGAAACATATACCTGATCTATAAACATAAACCAAATCTATAAGGTTTTGGGTCTCCAAAAGTCCTCTCAGATGCCATTCCCTTTGTTGCTGTTTTAAGGAACTCTGGAATCCAACACAGAGCATTTCACACATCCATGAAGCATTCCACTTATGTGAGAACAAAGAAGCCATGTGGCTTCAGGGTGGGGTGGGTTTAGGAAAGGAGGTGGTAGGAGTTCATATATACTTGGGGACTGGTAGCTTGTGGATCTGCTAAAGCAGTGAAAAAAGAATATGTTACTCTCATCTAGGCCAAAACAGCTTTGCAAAACAGCCTACCAGAAAAAAGCCAGTCTGCACCAGTCATCTGGGACTAGAAGTTGAAAGGCAGCACTCTGGCCTCTACCAAGATCCAGGAGACCAAGGGCCACTGAGAGCTTATACCCAGTTCCCAGAAAAACGTTTTGGTCAACCAGGCTCCGTCTATCAGCCACTTTCCCCCAAGCTTTCTTTCCATTTTCATCCCAATGCTCTTCTCTATCATGTCTATTAGAGCATGTGCTTGTGGGCAAGGGCATTCTTTTACTGTATCTAGTCTCTCAGAAAATGTTAAGGCACTTTATAAGCATTAAATAATAAAGTACAGCTTAAAACTACAATCTTGATTTATTTTTTTTAACAGTTCCAGGAAATCCTACCACAGCCATACTGAAGAAGACATTCGCTCTCAAATGCTAACAAACAGCTTTGCGATAGCCTACCAAAATTCACGCTGCCTATTTTTAGCAACTAATAACCCCCCCCATTCTGTTGCTTAAAATTACGTGCCTTTGGTTACATTGCAATCTTATGCTGCGCAATATGCCGCTTTAAAATAAAGAGCAATTCTACATTAAAAAAGAAAAGCACCACTTGGTGCAGTTATTCGCTTCTTAAGCAACGGGCGAGGCGATGTTTTACTATGGCGGCCGAACCCGCAGCCCTCGTGCCTGCAACCCGCACAGCCCTTTACCGCCAGCGATCAAGGGAAGAGTGCCCGCAACCCTTTGAGACCATCCCTAGTAATCCCATTACAAAAACCTTTGCTTGGAGAGAGAGAAGACGAAGCGAGGCCACGCCACGTGCACGGCTCCCAGCATGCGACCCTCCATGGCTCCGCGAACGAGATTCTGAAAGAGCCACGTGACTCTCCCTCGGGGGCGCCGCGCGCAGGTTCTGAAGGGCGGGCACGTCCCTATCCAGCTCTTAGGCCGCAGACGGGCCAACCGCTTGATTGGCGGACCGAGTGGCCAATCATCGCCCAACCCGTCTTTCACTAGACTCAGCTATTCCTTCGCAGGCTCTATTATCCTACCTCCCCCTCCCTCCCCCCCACGCCAGACCGTCTACCGAAAACCCGACGTAGCACGTCCGCTACGCGGGCACGACCGACTCGTTTCCCCTCACAGCTCGCGGAACTGGGGTGGCGGGGTGAAGGGAGAGAGGAAACCGCCCTCGCGTGAGAGCGGAGGGGAGGAAAACGCGACTCGCTACTCACCATGTTGGCACATCTGCGGGACTCAGCCCTGCGCCCAGCGCGCACGCGCCCCCTCGGCCGGAAGAGAACGCCATTTCCGGCTCGAGGACCCCCAGTATAGCTGTCCTTGTGATGCCTGCAGTAACGTTCGTAAATGTATGAGGCGCTGCTTATGGCCCACGTTATTAAAAGCCTTGGGGAGGGTTTTTGCCGTTTAAAATGGCAAGGCTTTCCCCTCTCTCCCCTGAATAGGTTTCTTCACCGCTGGAAACCGTAACTAGCGTTTTCTCCGCTTCTCTTTTTATTGCTTTCAGTATTTATTTATTGCTTTTTGCAGTAGATATTGAACGCGGAAGGAGACGAATGGGGACATTTGTCCTGGGTGAATTCCTTTCCACAGGAACGACACGGGCTCTATCAAGCCCCATATTCACGCGATCAGAAAAACACGAAAGGAGTTGACCTTTGGGGATTGTGCCATCATGACCCAAACTATTCCTAATTTGATGCCTGTTTGCACTGAGCAGTGGCGTGGAAGTGTTTCCTTGGGGCAGCACAAAGGCATCCCTGGAAGTTAAAAGTCGCAAGACAGAACTAAAGAAGGGACCCTGACTGCCTGTGAACACTTGCCCTATGCATAAATATGTAGAAAAAGGAAAGAAGCTTTTGAAACAGATAATTCTAATATGCATTTTCTTACTTAAGTGTTTCGCTCTCTCAAAATTATAGATGTTGGTTTCTTATAAAAGTTAGATGTTTTAAAATGATTTGCAAGAGTAGATTGCCTTTGATGAAAAAGTCCAAAATAGCTAGTCGGAATGGCAAGAGTATTACAGGCAAGGTGTCATATTCAAAGAGTGTTTTAGCTTCCTGAAATGGCAGAGCTTTCAAGGAGTCTTTTTTAAACAAAGATGCAAGTGCAACCTAAGAGATAAATTATAGAGTGTGCACAAATGCACCAGTCATTTTTTTAAAAAGAGCATTTCAATGCACACAATTCCCACCACCAGAACAAGTAATATAAAAAATGCATTTAGTTGCAAGAGAAAAGTTATCGGATAGCATTTCACAGCAAACTCCAGCATTGGAGATCAACTGAACTGCACTACAGTTGAAGCAGAGATTGGACACCAGTATTCTAATTACACCTTAGAACAGATTTAATACTAACACAAATGAGCTGTTTTCCATTTCAATGCCAAAATTCATACCCAGATTATAGAAGAAAAACAGAGTTTCAGGGCAAGTATTTTTTTTAATTAGTTGATACTATAGCTAATTGACATAATGACAGTCCTGTAAACATTACTGGAACAAAAAAATACATTGTATGGCTTTTTTCATATTTGAGTGCAATAAAACATTTGTTTAGTAAGGTTGATATAATCAGGCTAAAGGCACCAAAACCATTATGTATACCCTTCAGATAATTGAAAAGTTCAACACAGGCACCATAGGTTTTGTTTTACAACAACATACAAAGTTGTTTGCAAAACTGCTACTCTTCAGTTTCCAAAGTCATAAAATTAAAAATCTTTATCTTTTCATAGAAGTTAATACAATATACAGCAATGTGGCTTTTCCGAGGACAAGGCAATTTGTTCTGAGGCACACTGTAGCATGGTGTGAGGTACACACTGATTTCAAAAGTAAGGTTCATTGTTTCTTTGTTTCACATTGCTCTTTGTATGTTGTTGAAAAAATCCACACTACAGCTGTTCCACAGATGTTTTGCATAGCTACGCTATATAGAGAAATGGCAAATTAAAATACAGTCACAGTACAGCTGACTTGATAGTGATTATAATTTCACACCTTACCTTGCATACAATATTTGGTAATAATTGGTATGATAACATGGTGAGTCCAGAATCTTCTTATTGCACAGAAACAAACATTCTTAAGTGGCCCTACTCCCAAAATACATAATTTGCAAATAGAAAAGAAGAACCCTAAACTGCCGGTATTGGTATGAACTTCTTAATCCAATACAGTGTCACAAGTTCAATTTGAGGCACTTTAAAAATGTTGTGAGAAGATCAGAGGACAGGGATAACCAAGTAACTATGGAGTAAGGTGAAAGTAAAAGCAGCCACTAAAAAAACAAACTAAAAAGAACCACATGCACCAACATGTATCTAATATCCAAATTTTTCAAGAGGTCTCTAGCTAACAGTTTCAATAATTAAGGAAACAATTTTTTTCCCATATATTGAAGATCTGAAACAGATATGCTACTACTTTGAGGCCATTTTATTTTTTCAATCTTAAAAGGAGCATACCAGAATAAAGACAAATGTTTGCAGCATCAGATTAATACATGCCCTGTCTCTCTTCAAAAGTTCTCAACCCTTAAACCTGCCAATGTGTTCACGAGCTACAATCAGTCTCTGTATCTGAGCTGTGCCTTCATATATCTGAAAAGAAAGCATACAATAAATAAATAAAAGGCAGGTGCTTTTGAGCAATTTCAAAACTACATAAAATATGAAAATACAGGGAACTTCTTATCAGTATGTTACCAGTTCAATGCAAAAGTTGCTACAGATGCTTAATGGCAGGGAAACAAACCTCACCAGGTACTTCAAGGCTGCACTTAAATGGCCATGGTCCAATAGGCTACTTTAGTTAAGCCTAAGAACTTGAGCGTACCTAGTGGCATTTTCCAACTTTCTTCTTTGAACAGCAGACACCCATGGCAAATTACAAATCATCTGTGAAAATTTCCTCCATTTCAAAATGTGTTTTCCATATGGACACTTCTGTTATAGAAACAAGTTCAAATCTCTGAAGTACAACGATCTACTGCTGGTGGGTCAGGATCCAGTACTGAGTTCCAGCCTAATCATACGTGGGTCACAACAGCAGCACTACCACCATACAAATAAATGGTAAATATGAAGAAATGGGTTTCAAGGTGGGTCCCGGGTCTGAAAAGGTAGAAGACTACTGCTCTAGTTTGTACAGTTATGCCATTCAGACCTCAGGCAGAATTTTTATACTATTTAAAAAAGGAATGGCTATACCCTTAGCTATGGAAACCTACCTCCTTTTCAAAAATATTATTTGATTTCAAACTGTATAGGTGCTAATCCTACTCTGAGTAGACCAACATAAAATTAATAAACATTGCTTAGGTTTTCAATTTCAATGGGTTCTGCTCAGAGTATGACTTAGTTGATTATAACGTAATATTTTGTTAATAATTACCACTTTTTAATTATATATATGTGTGTGTGTGTTTGTATGTATGTTTTTATCTGAGGTCAAGCCGTTACATCTAACATACTTACTTTCCAGATAACTACATATACTATGTTTTGTATAGGATTGCATCCTAAATGGGTCTTTTCTCCACACTGCCCCGGATTTAATGCTCAGTAGATTTTAATTTTTAACCTGCAGGCATTTCATACAAATACTGCTTAAAAAAACCCTGCAGGTGCTGAGGGCCACCTTAAAAGAAGCTGCCTCTCCTATGAAAGAGAATACCTCTTAAGATGAATGCTGCAACAACACAGATGTGTCATTTAAAAGGGAAACATACTTTTGTCTTTATATTATATACACAAATTTATTAATAGACTGCTGCTATCAATTCACTAAAAATGTTAACTGGGCAACAGTTCTAGTATTTGCATTAAATGGGTTACCTACCTGGTATATTTTGGCATCTCTCATTAGCTTTTCTACTGGGTATTCACTATTGAATCCATTTCCTCCAAAAATCTGGACGGCATCAGAAGCTACTTGATTTGCAATGTCTCCAGCGTATCCCTTTGCAATAGATGCATAGTAGGTGTTTCTACGGCCAGCATCTACCTCCCATGCTGCTCTTTGGTAAGCCAAGCGAGCAAGCTCCACTTTCATTGCCATTTCAGCCAACATGAAGGACACTGCCTGGTGCTAAGATGGTTGAGGAATATAGGCAAATATTGACCAGTTAGAATTGAGAAGTTTACTTTTTGTACAGTACACATCAAGGAACATGTAGCAGGCTTCTGCATAGTGCTAAAATTGCATTTCCCCCTCCCTCATTTCTCCTGCTGCTGTGCTGCTGGGACCCAATAAGTGCCATATACAAACGCAGGTTCACAATTTATTTTCCTCAAAGAAGCCACGAGCAATAAGAACTAAACTTGGTTACAGGTCATGGTTTGTTTGGAGAGACACAAACCATGAGCCTTGCCTTAGCTCCCAGAAGGAGGTTTTGGCTGCGATTTTACCAGCGTGTATGCTGTGTGTTCCCCATTAATTCATGGTTAGGCTTCACTATGGTTTAAAGTGGCATGTGAATCAGACCGAAAAAGGAAAACTTTATCAATACAGTATATAGAATTAAAAATTTTGCTAAGCTACTTTGTTCATATTTGTTAAAAATTACAATGAAATTTCATCTAATTAGAAAAGTTACCAATGCACAGCCAAGCCTCAGGAATTATCCAAAGTCAGAATTATTGGTTCTGGTTCTTCATCTGGTTTTAGGATTTCCCTAGGACTCCTATCACTCCTCAGCTATATTTATTTTTTGATCATAGCATTAGTTATCAGAAAGCAGTGCTGGTTTAATCTGAAGTGCTTATATGTTTAAATAATTCTCTATTAATGTATGTGTGCAGATTACTAAATGACTTCATGTCGCCTTGTCTCAGTAACAAACAAGAAAACCCTAAAATGACTTACAGTCAAACATGTATTTATTTATTAAATTTATATTTTGCCTTTCCTCCCAAATAAGCCATTTGTGGGGTGGGGGTTACGTATGGAGACGCACAGTTAATACACAATGACAAGTATACAAATGTGATTAGTTTGGTTCTTTGCAGTGACTAGCCACACTATCCCTCATTGACAAAATCAGCATTAGCTTTGCTATATGACAGTCCACATTTTGTAACTGTCAGCTGCAGCAATCTTGAATCCTCTTACACCACAAGAGACCCGTTTACAAAGCAACACTACCCTTAAATTTAAACGGCTTCTAGTAAGAGATTGGTGGATCATATTTTGGTTTTACCAGCATTTTGACTTCCAACTTGCTAAGCTATTCTTTTAGGACCCTACAATATAAGCTTTGTGAAAAAGATTTCCCTTAATACACATTAACTGGAAATGGCATCATATAAATGATAAAGAGATTCACATACCTCTGCAATGACCTTTCCAAAGGTTTTTCTTTCCATAGCATACTTTGTAGCTTCATCCAAAGCTCTTTGTGCTAGCCCTACAGCACCAGCAGCTACCTGTGATTTTAACGATGGATATCATAAAAATAGAACTCTAAAATGATATTTTTCTAGAACTTATTTCAGATACTTACCGGAGGCCTTGTTTTATCAAATGCTCCCATGGCAATTTTAAAGCCAGCACCTTCACCAATTAATACGTTCTCTTTGGGCACTCTCACATCCTCAAAAACAATCCCTCTTGTATCTGAGCAGCGTTGACCCATATTAAGTTCCTGAAAAGAAAGTTTATGAAATATTTAATTATGCCTTAACTAATGTAGATTGGTAATTTATAGCCAAGAGTGCAAGAATTATGCTTGTTATTTTACACATCCACACACAGAATCTAGATGGGGTGTGTGTGTGCGCGTGTATACTCTACCTTTCTTCCAATTTGTATTCCAGGGCTGTCCGCTTCCACAATAAATCCAGTAAAAGCTTTGCCTGCAGGAGCTTTGGGATCAGGACTGGAGCGAGCCAATAAAAAATACCTAATAAACACACACAAAAACAAGAGCCAGGTTTGACTTTAACAGATGCTTCTGGTAGCTTTATACCAGAAATTAAACAACGATCAGGCGGTTTCAAAAAAGAAGGACAACCCAGCGTGTTTTGAAGACTTCTACTGAGCGTTAACATAGTTAAGACTGGACTTCTATTGTTCGGTATTATATATAAAACAAAAAGGAAATACAAGACAATATACAAGGAAAAGACTCATAAAGCACATGTGGCACAGGATGGTATTTAGTAAAAGGATGGTTTCAGCCCTCCCAACATGTACTGTCACTGCTTGTTCCAAATTGTCTCACTTCATTCCTTCCTTCCAAACCAAATCCTGGACGGTGGTCAAGAATGTGGACACACTATACCACACTGGCTCTTGCCTCATTTGTGATAGGGTAAGAGATAATACCTAATCTCCCCAACTGGTTTCTAATAAACATTCTGTATCTTAGTCACACTGTGCATGACACAAAAATGGATCAAATGTGGGGAAGAACTACAGAGAAAGTAAAGCTCGTTAACAATTGCTATACCAGTTAGCCTTGCCACCATTGGTGATCCACATTTTTTGTCCATTAATTATATATTCATCTCCTTTCTTCTCGGCTCTTGTTTTTAAACCCGCTACATCAGAGCCTGCTCCAGGTTCCGTTACACAGTAGGCCTGAGGAGAAAAAAGAAAAAAGAATAAACAGGAGGCATGCCTGTTTAGGCAAGCATTCCCCTGAACTGCACTTCTGATTTTGTTGGCTTAACTGTCTGTTTTCAGATGTTTTAACTGCCGTGCTTTTTAATTGCTTGTTTTATTGCATATTTTCATTAAGACTTATTCTAGTGCCCAATGGAATTGCTATTGTGTATTTCAATTATGCACTGATGTTCTTGTTGTAAACTGCGTGGAAGCAATATTTTGCATATACAGTGGTACCTCGGGTTAAGTACTTAATTCGTTCCGGAGGTCCATTCTTAACCTGAAAATGTTCTTAACCTGAAGCACCACTTTAGCTAATGGGGCCTCCTGCTGCTCTCGCACCACCAGAGCACGATTTCTGTTCTCATCCTGAAGCAAAGTTCTTAACCCGAGGTAATATTTCTGGGTTAGCGGAGTCTGTAACATGAAGCGTATGTAACCTGAAGCGTATGTAACCCGAGGTACCACTGTACTTCTCTTTCCTGCTTCAAGTCCCTCTTAAGAGTTGGGAGACAGCAGGGTGGGGGAAGGTGAGGAATCTACTAACCCATCGGTTGCCAGAACAGCCTCTTCTTCTTCTGCCACATCCTATGTGCCTTTCTCTGTCTCAAACTGCCCTAACTCTTCTTCCTCACCTTACCTTGATTCCTGCCTTGTGGGTGATGACAAACCCCATAAATTGCTGGCCCCCTCTCCTGGGTCACCCCCCCGACCCCCTGCCTCTGCCACACACTCTTCAGAGCACTGCCAGCCCCTCACACTATCATATTTTTAAGGATATATTTGTTCCAGCAAGGTTTTTAAGCTGTATGAAAAGGTATCTGTCTTAGGTGTCAATTCTGTATTGTTTTAAAATCTCTCTTTAGCTATTGGTTTTTTGTATTGTTTTAAAAACTATTCTTAGCTGTGGGCATTTTTAGTTCTATTTCTACTGTATGTTTGTAAATCACCGTATTTTTCCATCTATAAGATGAGGTTTTTTACCCATTTTTTTAGGTTGAAAAACAAGGTTCATCTTATCCATGGAATACAGCAATTAAATATATAAATAAATATGGTACTTGCTTAGGCCGTCGCAGTTCCTGGCAGTGGCGAGCTGTGTGGCCTCTGTAGTCTGCTTGCCTCCTCCCACTCTGTCCGCCCTACAGATGGGAGGGAGGCTGTAGGTAGTCCGTTTTTGTGCGGCGTCTTCGCGCGGCTCCAAGCAGACTAACAAGGCCACATGAGAAAGGCGCGGAGGGAAGAGATATCTTCGACCGCTGCACCCAACAGGAGTGGCAGCGCCTTTCCTGCGGGGCATTTAGTCTGCTTACCTCCTCCCACTCTGCCCACCCTACAGCTGTGGGGGAGGCTGTGTGCGATCATTTTTCTGTGCAACGTCTTCACGCAGCTCCATTTGTGAGCGGGCGGTGCAACATTATACAGGAGGAGCGCAAGGTGCAATGTTTCGCTGATGTGAAAGGCGCAAAGGAGGGGATATTACTTCAATCGCTGCACTCCTTCTGTATAACGTCGCGCTGCCTGTGCACAAAAACAGACTACCTACAGCCTCCCTCCCAGCTGTAGGGCGGGCAGAGGCAAGCAGAATACAGAGGCCCCATGGGAAAGGTGAAAAGTGCTAAAAGCAATTGAAAGAAAAAGCTTCACCACTCTTCCCCCCCCCCCAAAAAAAGCTCAACCCTGCCCTCCCCCAAAGCTCAGCAATTGCCTGCGAGGGAACAGCTGATAGGCACACGGCTGTTAGGCTCTGGGCAATCCTCTCCAAAAAAAACTCAACAAGTTAGGGCAATTCCCCCCCCCTCATTTTCTTAATTTGGAGTCTCCCAAAATATGGGGCGTCCTATACATGGGGGTGTCCAATATACAGAAAAATACAATAAATGTATACAGGTTTTTCACCAAAGTAAAATTCTATAGACTTGGGGGGAGAGGGGGAACTTACACACATCATAGGTTCCTCTGTCATTCTTCCCAGATATTTCTTCTGCTGCTGCTCATTTCCTGCAATGATGACTGGCATTTGCTGCAAGAAAAAAAGAAACATTCAATACAAAGAAAGTCATTATCTAGACAACTACAAAGAAAGAAGGAAAATACTTACACCCAGGGAATTTGCTTCAATAGCTGTTTGAACCCCTGTACACCCATAAGCTAATTCTTCAGTAATAAGGCAGGCATCAAAACAGCCAAGGCCAAGGCCACCTATAGCAAAACATTATGAAACAAAAAACAGTCCCATACAAATCCATTTTAGGTGCACTTTACTTCCTATACACTCTAACCTTTGATAGGGTGAATTTTGACATCAGTGTAACAGGATGTTTCAATTCCATTTGCATATATATCCCTTCAACACACCCACCCACCCAAAACCCCACAATATTGGTCTATCCCTATTCAGAGTAACCCCAGTAGTTAACTAAATCATAACTTGCATGTAGGAATGGGTAAATTCCAATTCAGGATACAAATTCTTCCAAGTAATATTGAAATACAATAAAACATCATCAAAGCACAATAAACCTTCGGGATCCTTTCTACAGAGCTATTGGTGGTAAATGGCCTTATGGTTGAAGAGGATGGTCCAGATGTAACACAACACCTTTCAATGGTGTCTGCTTGCATATCCACTTACCAATCATCAAACATACTGCAAAGAAGTTAACTAAAATCCATATCCATATACCCTTTATGTTTGGCAATACTGCTATTTCTAATAAGGTCTCAAGAGATGAAAACTTATCTTACACCAGACATACTGGCTATTGCTATTCCTTCACATTCATAAAACATCCTATCGTAAAATCTGTTGTATCTTTGCCTCCTAAAAGCGTTCCTTAGTTGATGCTATTTTAGTGCTTAAAAGGTAGTTTACTCACCACAGCTCTCTGGTATATGTGAATTTATCAAGCCGAGCTCCCATGCCCTTTTTATGAGGGGAACAGGGTACTAGAAAGAAAAGAGATAAAATATTTCATTTTATGTACAGTGTCTCTTTTTAGAAACATTTACTCAATGCTTTAAGCTGTTCCCCCCTTATATAGCAAGCCTACCTCTCCAGTTCTGTCATACTCGGCAGCAACGGGCAAGATTTCTTCTCTAGCAAATTTACGAGCTGTAGCTTGAAATTCTTTCTGTTCATCAGTAAGTTCTAGAAAACATGGCATTCACATGTCAAACAATCAATTATATCCAAATATTTGAAATACCCGTAATAATTCAACATAGTAGCAGAACTGCAATACTTTGCACCTGACATTGCTAGAGTTCATTATTTTGGCACCTAAATTCATCCCTAATTCTACTCGTCAGGATGTGACAGGACATGAAGCAGCACAGCAATACAGGGAAAACCATGACAGCAGGATATTCCAAGAGGTATAAGGGCATGAAGCAACATCAGCTGAAATAAATTATATTTTTGGAACAGTGTGAGGAAAATCAGGAGCCTCTGTTCAAGAAATGGACTGTTCATTTGCCTCTTACAGAAGCATCTACTGCAAGCGAGATGACTGCACATCAGTTTTCCCACCTGAGGACATAAGACAAGCCCTGCTGGATCAGATCAGACCTCCAAGTATCTCTATCCCTGGCCATCAGGGTCCTCCCCAGGCCACACCATCTCTCTCCAGGCTCCTCATTAGTCCTGCTCTGCACCCTCCTTGAGAGCCTGGATGGAGAGATGACTGTGTGTGGCTGCAATGTAGTCTACTGCACATAAGCAGCCGTCACATCTGTTGATCAGCCTAGTGTATTGTCTCTGGCTACAACATCCATTGGTATGTGGGCCCCTGTCTGACTGCACTGAAAAAAATGCAAACGCCTGTATCATATATTTTCCCTTATGAACCAAAAAGCAATTTAAACTGGGAAAGTGGCATAAGGAAAAGATGTAACGCACACTGCACTTCTCCAATTACAATTCGTAGTTCACGAATTGTATTTAGTAAAACTACACAGCTGCTATTAGTAAAATAAAAAGTAAGTGCATCAGGCATTGAGTCATCAGTCTCCTGCCATCACACATCAAATGGTTCAAATTCTGATAATTTTCTTTAGGTTTGTGAAATACTTGAGGCATGGGACATAATGTAAGATTAATAGGGGATATTTTTACAGTGCTTTGTGAATACTTACCAAAGCTAAATCCAGCTGCCGATTTACTTTTGGGTGCTGTTGCAGCAGCTTGACTTGATTGTGATCTCCAACCACATGTAGCAATGCTTCGTAACACCTGAAATTTTGATTTTGGGGGGAATAAGAATAGCTCCGATAAAAGCCTCCAATAAATTTCTCAATCCTATTGCAAGTGCCAACTAAAAAATAGTCTGCAGCAGAGACCAATGCATTTACCACAGAACTGATCGTATTTTTCACTAGAAGTAGTTGGGGAATTCTGTGTTTTTCATTGTGTAGCATATTTTCTTTTAAGTTCTTTTGCAAGATCGTATACATCTAAATATACCAAATAACCCTGATAAACTGCTAATTTTGGTTCAAAATACCATTTGGCCTTTGCAAATAAATATGCCCCTGTACCTTTCTATGGACTTTGTTGTTCTCCTATGAACTTTCCATTGCTGGAGCAAACGGAAGATTTTGCAAGTTATTATTATATAGTTCTGTTGAAGATACATACTTATAGGACATATATTATATCTTATTGCTTCCTTAGCATTTATTATTTTTGAAAGTGACTAAAATACATAGCAAATTTCAGGGACAGGTCTCTGCATAGTGCCTTACAATCTAAAGGCATGAAACAATAGGAGAGGGAACCTGGAATGGGAAAATGGAGAAGCTTTCTCTAGAAGAATAAAAGAAAGAAAAAAATGTTCAAAGTAAATATATATAATGCTTAAATGACAATTAAAGAAACAAAGCAAAACTGCAGGAAGAAAAGGACAATTTCGTGCTTTCTTAAAGTGGGACAAAGTGATAGTGAACTGAATATCAAGGGGGAGAGAGTTCCACACATAAGGAGCCCAGAAAAAGCATGAAGTTGAGAAACAGCACAAGGGAGTGGAAGTTAAATAAGATGAGTGTTTGATACCCCCAAGTAAGTTTAAACTGAAGCACAAGACTACTAAACCATTGCAGTCATCAGCCCAAGACAGGAATTAGAGTCTGAATAAGGAATTCAGTCTAAATAGACTAAAATGGAAGAGACTGAGAATTATTAACAAGAGAACCAGCAAACCTTAGATAAGATAGGAAAGAAAAAAAGAAAGAAAAGAATGAGAAGGGTCAAAGATAATGACTAAACTCCTAATTTGCAGGGGGAAATTGCAGTGTAGAAACACTGACTTTTGCTGGGCTACAATGCGGCTCTGTGTACAAGTCACATCTGTGGTTCAACTCACTTTTGCCTCTGGCCCCACTCACCACTGGTGCAGAGAACAGTGAGATAAGATGGGACAATGGTCTGACACAATATAGGGCAGCTTCCTACACTCCTAATTTGGGGAACAAGAACTAAAATAAGTAGCTTTGACTAAGCAGAATACGAAAGTGACAACGAAAGATGGTCCAGTGGTTAATAAAATAGCAAGAGAACAAAGTCCATTTAATTATACAACTACACACCAGTCATTCAAAAGAAAAAGAAGTGAATGAGATAAAGATTGCATAAGACATGCACAAGATGTTCTATCAAGTGTACAATATTAACCAAAAGGCCACAAAGCTTTGGATATGAATAACTTATTGACCATTTCAACTTCACTACAATTTCAAAGAATAATTTACACTAAAATATTTTGTAACCTGTGGCTCCCTGGCTTCAAGGGTGATGCTTTAGCAAACAATTGTGGAATTAAGTCTCTAATGCTATTTGATTTAAGTAAAGCATCTTTATCCTACTTTCAGCCAACAAAGAGAGAGAAAGAGAGGGAGGGAGGCTCCCAGAGTACCTTACAAATGCCAGTGTTAGAAAGGCCCTCCCCCAAGAGTTACAACCTAAAATATGTGACATAAAAGGCAAAGAAATTGGGAGGATGAAAAAAGCAAACACACAAACTATTTTTTAGTTACCGAGTTTTTGTAATGGCCAGCTGGAATAGAAAGTTTTTTAGCACTCTGCTCCATACCTTGCTTTTCAGGGGTTGGAACTTATCAATTATCTTATGTGGCATACTCTTTGCGGGGGGGGGGGGGGGAGAGAAGCAGACTGCTCACTGGCACTGCCAACACCAAATTCCATTAAAGTTACAAGGTACAGTGGTTTAAAGGCTAACCTTTTCGTTGTGGCAATTTTCAATTACATGTTGTCCTTATGGAAAACACTTCTGCTTTTCACTCTCATAGCAGTTATATTTTTCAAAAAGAGCTCTCTGTACACAAATGAAACATTTGCCCTGTTTATCCTCCAGTTTCCTGGGTTCGTCCTAGACAGAAATACATGCTCATAACAATCACTTGTTATGATTTATGTGTGACACCTACGGAGTAGAATATTACAAAGTTCCCACATTATAAACCAACCTGTATGAGACTGGTAAAGTGGCACATTAATTGCGCACAACATTACCACATCACCATATGCAATACTCAGCTCACTGGTTTGACATCCTTCAGTTTTATCAATAACTGTCTACCAACAAATTTAACCAACAGAATCTTGTGTAGGGCCATTTCTGTCATAGAAGAAAAATCCTCAGAGAAGTGTTAATAGCCCTGCAAATCCTTTCTAGGCGAACTATTGTATACATCAATCTGAACCTGCACATTTTCAGAGGGCAAAAATGCATTTATTTACATACTGAGTATGTCATATAGATTGACTCATCAGTGATAAGTGGGTAATTATCCAAGTTTAGTAGCTTTGCTCACATTTTGCTTAAATCAAGGGCAAACAGCTACTAGATCAAAGTATTCTGTACAGATTTGAAACAAAACTGCAAATATAAAAGTATTCTTATTAGCTTTATAAATCAAGTGTATAAACAAAACCCATAAAAGGACTGTTCTGTCCAACATTCTCAAAGAGCTAGTGTGGCATGGTAGTTAAGAGACTACCCTATTCATCAGACTATCTGTATTCTAAATCTCACCTCTGCCATGGACACACTAGATGGCCTTAAGCACCATTTCTTAGCCTTAGGTCTTTGTCTATAGTATGTAGATAATACTAAAGGACTTTAAAAGGGCAAGGGACACCCAAACTACCAAGATTCAAAAGCAGTCATTTCCCAGTCACAGCACTGAACAATGCTTTAAAAAAGTTGTTTTTCTTTCTAGCATATGAATTCTTAAGACTATGTCTGTCTCATTTATATACTTAAGGGCAAAAACCAATACAAACTGGGATTTTGTAACAAACCATAAACAAGAATAAAAGTTGGAAGATATACCGGCTATACTGGCACAAAAATGTTTTATATGAAATATATAGCGGGTAGTATAATTAGTTAAACCTATTCACAGAAGATAACTCTATCAAAATCCTAAGCCTAACACACATATGATCTCGGTTTCTATAGATCTCTTCTGTTTCCCTACATTTGCCATAAATTAAAAAAAACCCTAGGATCAAGGTAAGGCAGTTTCCTTCCGAAAACCAACCCCTCCTTATGAATGCCAAACAAATAAATAGATATGCTGTTGCATAATACCAAAAACTGCGGTATTGTTGTTTGTTACGGGACAGAATGTACTTCGCTTTATATAAGCTGGAAGTATCATTCTGTGTGGGTACCTCTTCTTTTCCCCCGTGAGAACTTGGCATCCTTCCCCTCTTCTAAATATTTATGTTCTAGTTCTGATCCCTGCATGGCAGGGGAAGGGGGTTTGGACTAGATGCCCCTCGGGAGCCCCTTCCAACTGTACAATGTTGTAATTATAGAAGTCTTAGGACTACTAAATACGCAGTCAACCCCTTCGCCCGCTTATCCGCACTTTACTGGGGCAGTGGGTAAGCTCCCTTGGACTAAACGGGGTTATCTCCCGAGTAGGCACGTTTCGGGCTTGCATTGCCGGGTTTCAGAAACCCACCCCGCCCCACCTTGCAAAGCCTCCTTCCCTCAACAATCCGAGGCCGCCCCCCAAGCCTGCCGCTTTCGGTTTCTGCGCCCGGCTTCTCCCCTCACGCCCCTCGCCACCTACTCCGTACCCGAGAGACCTTCAGCGCGGCCATGACGTGCCCTTCCTCTTCCACAGGCCGCGGCAGCAACTTCCCATCCAGTAGGCACCAAGCCAAGCCCCGCCCCCTGCGCTCGGGGATCGCTCCAGGAGGCTAGGCCCCAAGAGAGAGGCGACGAGGGAGGAGGAGCCGAGAGAAGGAAGGCGGGGGGGGGGGGGGACGTCGGCTGACGAAGGCCGGTTTGGCTCCGGGGCCGCGGTAAGCCCTGGCGGACGCCGGTGACGACAGCGGAGATTTTTTGTGGGGCGGGGAGGGGGGAAGCGTCTCTCTCACTTTCGCCCGGGCCCCAATCCGCCTTGCCACGCAGCCAGTGGGCAGAGGTGGCGGGTCATTGCACGGCAAAGCCAGGCCATTGGTGGTGACTACCTGTGATTTGGGCACTGAAAAGTGGCTTCAGGAGAGTGACAATAAAATATTGTAGGGGGACAAGTAAGCGCCGCCTCGCATAATCGATCATACGATGGGGCGCAATGAATGGCAATACGTATCAACTTTTGGGGTGGGGGGGCCGGCCCCCTCCAATATTCTATGGGGGCGAAGGGATCACGGCCCCCTAGGACCTGGCTCCTGCTATGAAGAGCTTCATAGCAGTGCCAGCGAAACACATTTTCGTGTGTTTGCTCACTCTCTGGGTAATACACGTGGAGGGGAAATCAGGCCTGGCCATCACAACCTCTGCCGGCTTGTTCGATCCCTTTCTGGGGGCAATGGGACCCCACCGCTGTACCAGCCTGTGGGCACATGCAGCAGGTGGGATGGTTGCCACACACTCTTCTCTTGTTTAACCTGGTTTTTGCCCCTCTGGGTGGCGCAGTAGTGAGAACTCTGCCCCACTTATGAAAATTCTGTCTGCTGTGCTGCTGAAAGAGATAAGGTCAGCAAAGAGGTCAAAGGTATGGGGATAGTTTTAAGCAGGAATCCCCAAAGTGCAGCCCTCCAGATGTTTTGGCCTACAACTCCTATGATCCCGAGCTAACAAGACCAGTGGTCAGGGATGATGGGAATTGTAGTCCAAAACATCTGGAGGGCCGAAGGTTGGGGATGCCTGGTCTTAAGAATCTGCAGGTTTCTTGCTCTTTCTGTTTTAAGCCTATATAAACTCTTCTCAGCAAGCTGAGTTTCACCCAAACTTCCAACCTGAAGAAATGAGACAACACCTCTGTTTGGATCAAGTAATCTTTAAATCAGGAATGTAAGGTAAAGGACCCCTGGACAATTAAGTCTCATCTTGCTTCAGGCCAAGGGAGCTGGTGTTTGTCTGCAGACAGCTTTCCGGGTCAAGTGGCCAGCATGACGAAACTGCTTCTGGTGCAAAGGGACACTGTGGCGAGTGCCAGAGCGCACAGAAACACCGTCTACCTTTCCACTGCAGCAGTACCTATTTATCTACACGCGTTGGTATGCTTTTGAACAGCTAGGTTGACAGATGCAATGGGAGCTCACTCCGTTGCATGGATTCAAACTGCTAACCTTCCAATCGGCAAGCCTCAAAGGCTCAGTAGTTTAGACCACAATGTCACCCACTCCCGCAGGAATGACAATCCTGTAGTCCTGCCAGTGTTGTTGACCATTGGCTATGTTGGCTGCATCTGATAGGCACTGAAATCCAACAACATTCAGAAGCCCTCAGATTTTTGTATCCCTGCTCTAAACAACTTGTTAAAATCACATAGGACACTCTAGAGAGCTTTGGGGAAACATGCTGTTTTGCCAAGTTATGGCAGAACTGTCTTTACCTAGCCTGTCTTTACTGAGCCATGTCTAGAAACATTTCATTGACATGATGGAAAGGGCCAGCTCAAAACAGACATTTGGTAATGAAATAACAAGGCATCTATTTAAAGTTACACAAATACCCTCTAGGGACAAAGCAGTAATTGTGTGACTTAAATACTTCTGGGATTTTAAAAACTAAAGTCAATCCAAATGTCTCACTTGTGCTTGTCAGGATGCAAGAGTGAATGATGCAAGCGAATTTGAGTACACAAACGAGGAGTGAATCTCAATTGAGTCATATGTGCTGGAGGCAAAAAGACAGGAAGGGTGTCAATGGAGGAAAAGTGAAGAAGGAATGTGATGCAATAGTGAGGTGAAGGATAGTCAAATGGGGAAAAAGGTAGGAAACTATGGAGAACATGTATAAGGGGGCACAGTAATCAGGCCAAGTAATGACTGGACAAAAGAGCCAGGTTGGACATGGAGAAGAGATTTAATACAATAAGCCAGAAACTCTGAGGCAATGCCAGGGAACACAAGTAAACTTCCATTCTTCCAAGAGAAACAACTGATTTCATTCATACAACTTGGACATTTTAACAAAGCTGTATAACTAGGATCAGTAATTTAATATCACGGAGCAGGGAATACAAATAAAATTTCCAGACTTTGCTTTGGATTAGAAGCGTAGGGAGTGCAGACGTATGCCGAATAATGCAGTAGACTGGTATTGAGGAACATATTTACTTATGAAACAAACTCACTGGCTCATCATTTGAGTAGCATTAGGATGTAGCGGCAGACTGATGATAACACTAGAAATACAGATCTGCTCCTAGCCCTTCTCATTTCACAAACATGCCCACACAGTGGAAATCTACACTACGACAGGACTTCGTGTAAGTAATTCCATTGACTCCAATGCAGGGGGAAGAGATCAAATGAAAATCACTTTCTTCATCTCCCACCCTGAGTTTCATGTGGTTTTCCCCTCCTGTCCTGAACTGGGGATGGATTGGATGCAGGAGATGTTATGTGAATGTAACTATGATGGATCTACCGCCTACAATCACAGAAATGTAAATGTAGAATTGTTCTGTAAATTTAGTATAATATTGTTATAATTTAAAAATAAAATGGCACAAAGGCATTCGTAATCTCAAATCTTTCTGGAATCCATACAATGGATCCATAGTAGTTTTTCTGATTGAGCACTGGCTACATTTACTAGCAATCCTGCTGTACCTTTGTTTTATAATTTGTCTTATGAGACATTTTCTCCCTGCAGTTTGGAATATATATTACTTTCACAGTTTCATTAATACAGAAGAAATCCCCTTTATTACTCTAATGAATGGTAGAGGCTTGTTGGTTGTTGCCAGGTTGTATAAATTAGCAAGTAAACATTGTAAAATAAGGATAATATATTACAAAAAGAGCAGTTTTTCATTTATTTAGACACTTGCATTACAGATTCATTATTTCTCTTAATATTTAATGAGTTATTTTGTGCTAAATGTTTATTGCAGTTATTACTATTAAGTTTGTATAATATTTTTTATTAATTAAGTGTTGATATTATGAAACATTACTAAACTGTATGCCACTAAATTATTGTTAATCACTAGAAATCAGTTAGTTTAAAAATTGAACAAAAAGATTTCTAAAGTTAAGATATGGGCAACTTTCTAATAAGACACTTTATCAACATATAATTGTAATAAAATTGTTTTAAAGACTAATAGGATTGTAATTAACCAGGTAATTATTTATATCACACCATCACATGGTTCTTCACAATCTCTGACTAACCACATCTCTTCAGAAGTAAGGCCTATTGAATTCACTGGGGCTTTCTCCCAAGTAAATGGAGTTAGGACTGCAGCTCAAGTCATATTCATAGTAGGTCCACCCATATAAATAAATTTCAAGGGGTCTACCCTAAGCTTCTGGGAAATCAAAGTCTTTGGGTTCTGAGGAGTGTACGGTTGCAAAACAGGAAGGGCCTGTGGCTTAATTTGATTCAGCACGGGAAAACTCACATGGCCTGTACATGGAAAGGATTGACAGATGGAAAACTGTTTCTCAGTTCTGTGGGTAGTGGTACATGGCCATTCTTAGTTGGTGGAGCAATTTGTCTGGTTAATTCTGATAATGAATGAGACTCTGACATGCTAACTAGTTATGGGACCCCTGAGCAGTCAGCGTCCAACTTTTTCATTCATAGAATCACAGAATTGTAGAGTTGGAAGGGACCTGGGGGTCATCTAGTTCAATCCCCTGCAATGTAGGAATCTCATCCATGACAGGCAACTAGCCAACCTCTGCATAAAAACCAATGAAGAAGAGTCCACCACCTTCCAAGGGATTCTGTTCCCCTGACAGCTTTTACTTTCAGAAAGTTATTCCTGATGTTTAGTTGGAATCTCCTTTTTCGTAAATTGAAGCCATTGGTTCGGGTCCTACCTTCAGGAGCAGGAGAAAACAAGCTTGCACCATCTTTAGATATCATATCTCCTCTCAGTCTCCTCATATCCAGGCCGAACATACCCAACTCCCTCAACTGTTCCTCATAAGCCTTGGTTTCCTTAATCATCTTGGTTTCTCTCCTCTGCACATGTTCCAGCTTGTCAGTATCCTTCTTCAGTTGTGGTGCCCAGAACTGGCCCCATCTGAGAATGTCATTTTGAATCCCGGTTCTGTCTTCTGCAACATTATAACTATGCCTGCTAGTTTGGTGTCATATGCAGATGTGATGAGCATCCCCTCAATTCCCTCTTAAAAGTCATTTATAAAGATGTTGGACAACAACGGGCCCAGGACAGAATCCTGTGGCACCCCACTTTGTCACTTTTTCCCAGGATAATGAGGAACCAGTAGTTGGCACTCTTTGGGTTCAGTCAGTCAACCAGCGACAAATCCACCTAACAGTTGCCTTGTCCAGTCCACATTTTACCAGCTTCTCCACATGTCTGCGAAGAACACTTACAACCTGAATTTTATGGAATTCAAACTACAATACAATAGAATTCATTATAAGAAATAAAAGAAGACATACAACAAATTTAAAAACCATACAGCATCCAGAATAGTACATTGTGATTGCTGCAACAGGCAGCAAAATCATTATGTGATCCACCAAGAACCATAGCAATTTCAAGAGGTCCATGGGCAGGGGGAGTTTGGGAATCACTGGAAAAGGAGAATGCTGAACTGAAGAGATGCACATAAAGGAAGCAAAATGGGCTTTTTAAAGCATACAGTGTATAGGAATATGTGACATACAAAAGGTTTTGCAACTCTTTGGGAGGATCAGTGAACGGAAAACATACATTGGCAAGTTCAGGTATTAAATTCAACACAGTTCTGTTTTGTAGTGCCTGTTTTGTATTCACAAACCATGTCCCACGATTTCAGGTTTTGGGTGGGCTGGTACCTACATTCTCCCTCCCCCCCTTTCTTTTATCTAAGAAAAATTTAGACTTCTCCCCCGCCCGTCTTGATTACAGTTCCAAACTAGTTTTAATTAACTGGAAAGATCTTATATACAACTCGCGTGTTTGTCTTTGATTGGAATTTGAAAGTAATTTACTGCATGGCTTAAAATCATTTTCAAGTTTCCTTTTATTTTTGTCCTTAGATGATTCAAACATTGCTTTGTGTTTGCACTCCAGGAATGAACGGTGTTTGTATCTTGCTTGTTATTATAAAACAACATTTGTTCAAATTTGCTGGCAATGAAAAATAAACAACATTGGAGTGCAGAGCATGTTGATTTCCTTATCTTCAGAAAGGACCAATATATATTTGAAGGTGAGACTTTGTAGCATATACTTTGAAGAAAGGGATGAAAGAGAAGAAACAGAACTATTATTTCAATTAAAAAACACTTGATATTTTCAGACCTGCTACACATAACTCTAGTAGTACTGTATAGGAATGTTGAGTTTCATTCTATGTTTTTAACATATGGAACATTCCATTTTTGTTGGTTTTTATTTTGGCATTTGAAAAATATACAGATTCAAATTGATGTTGAACAAATTGATGTTGGTAAATAAATGGAAAACCAATAATAGCTGCATTGACATGCAACTCTAAGCCACAGTTTGGTGCTATGTGCCTTGGGTTTATGTGCTGCACACCCGCCGGTACTGCCATAAGGACACTGGAAGCTTTTGCTTCAACAAACCAAATGTAACACTAACCACAGATTCCGAAATAACAAGATATTGCAGTTAGTTCATGCACATTTACACTAGACTGATTTGGCACTGTGTGTGAACCTGGCTAGTCACAACTTTGAACATTCAGTTGAATGCAATTCTGCTTTCATACTGTATGTTAGCCACGTTCACAAGAGGTGCATTCTGCACTAAAAGGTGCTCTGTCCGTGTGGTTTATTTGCACTGCCTGTTTAATGTGTTTTTGTAAGTTATACCTGTTATTTTATAAACTATTTTTTTCTTCATAAGTTGGGAAGGAGCCAGGTTCAATCTCTGACACCTCCAGGTAGGACTGGGAAGGACTCCTGCCTGAAACCCCAGAAGGTCACTGCCAGTTAGGGTTAACAACGCTGCTCTAGATGGATTAATGATCTGGCTCAGTATAAGGCAACTTCCTGTGTTTGTGCATGGTTATCACAATGCAGTTTGTCTGGCCCATGTGCACAGAGTTCCAGACAGTGTTTCTTAAATCCATTGTTTGCAGGAACTCTTATTGTCGTGATACTTTTGTGGGTAAGCTGAGAGTTTGTGTGAACCCGAAGGCTGACAGGGAGGGTATGTCAGAAGGAAAATGAAGTGTTTTTGTATATATATAAAACTTTGCATTAAGGTAACTGTTACATATAAAACTCTATTTTATATTTAACTGTATATTTTTGTAACATTTTGTTTAAGTTGTCTGTTGTTGCTTCTTTTTTTCGTACGTAGTTGCCAAATTGTGAAGCAACAGTAGAGGGCACTGTGGCAGGAGATGGCACAGATTTCTAACAAGCATCCACACGAATACTTATACATTTAAAAATGTATATCACAACACATTTTCTTACTTGAGACATGCAGAGTCTTAGATTCATATGTACAGTACAGCAAGGTCTTAATTTCAGGGCTGTAGGTTTGAGCCCTACACTGAGCAAACAGATTCCTGCATTGCAGGGAGTTGGACTAGATGAGCCTTGTGGTCCCTTCTACAGTTCTATTATTCTAAGTTATTTCCAGGTTAATTCTATGCTTTGTACAACAGAGGCTGCCTTTTATTCATGTTGGAGGAAATCCAGTTGGATGGAGCAATAGCCTTACTCCAAATAAGGGAAATTTGTATTTTCCTAAACCAATAATCCTTTACACCTACAAACATATTAAGAGATTCATGTTCAAGATGATTAGATCAACGGTGGCAATATTCTACCTTCCAACTCACCTTGGGGTAAATTCACACGTGCTTAATGTGGTGAGTGCAGCTTCAAGTGGGGATTACTTGTCGGAAACATCGTTCTCTGAAACTCTCAGAACCTTCCCCTAGTGATGAACGTGGAAAAAGTATCTGCTGCTACTCCATACCTTTCAATTTCTGTCCATTTTCAAGTCTCACAAATTGCACATATATCACCACATAGACATAATATCATCACGTGTACTAACAGAGAGCTCAGGACTGAATTATATTTAAAATTACATTTATATCTCACCTTTCCTCCAAAGATCGCAAGGTGGTACACATGGTTCTCCTCCCCATCCTCCCCATTTTATTCTCAACAACCCTGTGACGTAGGGTCGACTGAGAGGCTTGACTGGCTCCCCAAGTCACCCAGTGAGCTTAGTGGAGATTTGAACTCTGGTCTCCCAGGTCCTAGTCTAACCATGTTACACCTATACAGTCAAAACAGAGTTACTGAAAATGAGGTATCAGCATACTTAGGAAACCTTAAGGTGGGGAAACCTAAGTAGGAAAAAAACAAACAAAAAATCTGCAAAACAGCACAGCCTAATGAAAAATGAGTATTTTCAGTGGACACAGAATGCACTTGTTGAAGTGACACAAAAAATCCAGGGGAGAGGGGGAGGAATGGAAAGGAGGAGTCTGAAGGAAAACCTGGCTAGCTGATTGGCTGAAATACTGTTGAGGAACACTCCACTGCAACATGTTGTTATAGGTCCCATTTGCTTTTATCATTTGTTATGCAGTTGTAAAAATATCATTCTCTCCAACACAATACATCTAATCTAAGCAATGAGCAATCAGCTATTAGTTGGGGTACAACTTGTAATTTGCTTAATTGCTAATCAGCCCAACCTTTCATTTGTAAAGGGCAATTTTAATAAGTAGTGCTGAAAGTTAAGGAATCACTTTACTTGTTTACATTGGTCCTTGCATATCTCTGTAAATTAGGGAGTGAATGTTACCTCTGTTTAGGTAACGGTTTATTAAATTGTAAATGATCATACCTCCAAAAGGCACCATTTTTGTAATATGTAAACATACTGTATTTAAATGTAATTGATTACTTAAGTTATAGAGCTAATGATCAACTAAACATTTTTAATTGGATAGTAGCCCCCATTATCACACTTGTGTGAATCAGCTCTGAGAGAGGCAGTTTCTGGCTGAACTGCTTTTATTTGGGGGAAACAACCAAGGCAAACATTCACCCTTTTCTTAGCTCACCTTTCATAATTCCACATACAATAGGTTTCTTCTCTCTCTATATATCACACATCTATGTTAAAAAGAGCTTTACCAGTTCTGCTTTCCCCCCTGGAATTCTGTAGAGGTGAAGACTAGCCAATGCTTCTGGGAGATCAGCATATATTAAATGTGACCTTAATCATTCGCCAAGAGCATAGATCTGGGGAGACCCTGGAAGCCAGATTCATCACACTCAAACCAGTTCTGATTAAGTTGTAATATAAATTGCAATAAAATAAAACACATTATTCTAGTGAGAGTTCTTTGCCATAAAATATATTGGTATTTTGATTAAGAAGAGCAACTTGTGAAAAATAAAAGACTCAATACCATTAAAATATATTTGCTGAAATCCCATTTCCCCTTCCTTTCCCCCTTAAGATAACATGGATACAGTTCCTAGGCAGCCTTCCATCCAGACATAAACCAGAACCAGGGCTGTTGTATCATCACCTTAAACCAGGGGTCAGCAACCTTTTCCAGTCATGGGCCGGTCCACCGTCCCTCAGACCATATGGTGGGCCAGACTATATTTTGGAAAAAAATATGAATGAATTCCTATGCCCCACAAATAAACCTGAGATGCATTTTAAATAAAAGCAAACATTCTACTCATGTAAAAACACCAGGCAGGCCCCACAAATAACCCAGAGATGCAGTTTAAATAAAAGGACACATCCTACTCATGTAAAAACACAGTGATTCCCTGACTGTCCGTGGGCCGGATTGAGAAGGCGATCGGGCCACATCCAGCCCCTGGGCCTTAGGTTGCCTACCCTTGCCTTAAACCATGCTTAATGGCCTACTGACAGCTCAACCATTGCCCACATTGTCAAATAATCCTGACAAAATGGCAAATAATCAAAATCTGGCTCAACAGATGCAAGGGAGGCATTTTTTTAAAAAAGACTTTTACTTTGAACATATAGCTTGGCATGGCTCAAAAAGACCTTTGGAATGAAAGTTTGCTCAAATAAAATACAGGTTAATATTAATGAAAACTTTCATTTTACTTGTTGCATAGAGCAGGGTTGCTGAAACCATTTATAATGGATTCTTTTACATGCATACCCAGAAAGACTAAAAGTAATGCAAGTAACCAGCACCTTGATTTGAGTCTTCTCTGTTCTTCATAAGTGGTCCTGAGACTTATATCCCAGTGCAGCAGAGATGAATTTCCTCCACCTTATACATGTACCTACAGGGCGATACCCAACTTTAGTCATACTCAGAGCAGACCCATTAAAATCAATGGAGTTAAGTAATTTGCCCATAGATTTTAGTGGGTCTCCTTTGAGTAGGACTAATGAGTTTATGCACACTGCCATCCCTCTCTATTCCTTATCACAATCTTAAAATACAAAATCTTTTCAATGCAATGAAGCCTTCAGATCGACTGCATCGCCAAGCTTTGGAAGAGGATTCTCCAAGGCTGCGAACACAAGGCCTAAGCTGATCCATCCCTGTCGTGCAGCGAAACTCCTTCATCAGCACGGGAGGAAAGGACAGCTCCACGGGAGCCTAGAAAACCGAGAGCAAACTTTCCAAGGGCAACTTTGCATGTGGGGAAAGGCGCCGCTCGGGGAAGGACCACCCCGCAAAGCCAAATATTGCCCTAAAATGTAGGCAGCATTGAGGATTTCTCCCACTCCCGGGCTGCTGCCTTTGCGTGCCTGAAGAGGTTTTCTACTGTCTAAAAATAATAATAATAGACGGTACCCCAACACATTTGGGAAAGTCGAAACTCCACAACGCCTCTCTCCAACAAGTGGGGAGGGGGGGAAGAGGAGAGAGGAGTAAACGCGCCTTTGACTGTCCCCCACCGGCCTTAAGCACAGACGCCCCTGCGTGGCCAAAGTTAGGCTTCCCAGAAGAAGCCCCTCGGGCCTGAAGTTGGCGAGCCTCTCTGGCCGGTGGGCGGGCTCATTGGCGCCCTCGGGGGGCTCTGGCTCGCTGCATATGGATGGCGGGGCGGGCTGAGGCGCGGGGGGCAGTCCCACGTGCCCCCTCCCTCCCCGCGTGCATGGGAAGGCCGGGAAGGCATTCAGCAACTGCAGCTGTGCTGCTGCTACCGCCGCCGCCTCACAGCTCGCCTCAGTGTTTACCTGCTGCAGCCCCTCTGCCTTAACCAGCGCAGGAGCGACGGGGGGGGGTCGCTCTCGGGGCGCGAGGAGGGGGAAAAACAACAACCGACCCAGCGCTCGGTAGCTCCCGCCGCTTCTGCTGCTTCTTCAGAGCCCAGCTGCGGCTGCCTGCCTGCTCTCATGCCATCACAGCAACAAAGAACACGCTGAGCAGCGCGCGGAGAGAGGCGCCCGGGCTCCAGGCTCCACGAAGCCGAAAGCCGGCGGGCGACCATGGCTAGGAAGGGGGACGCCGCTGCCTCTCCTTACGGTGAGTGAGGCGAGGGGTGCTCGGGCGGCGGCGGCGGCGGCGGCAACGCAGCGAGGGCAGAGTGAGGGGCGGGCGCCGCGACGCAGCCCAGTCCGGGCCGGCTCCTCCTGGGTTTCATTCCGGCCTGTTTTGGCGCGCGCAGCCCCGCTGCCGCCGGAGTTTGTTTGCCTTTGGCGAGCGGAGGGACCCGGGCAGGTCCCTCGAGTCGGTCGCCTCCGCGTTTCTGAGCGCCTTCCTTTCCCCCCTACACTCCCGTCCTCTCTCTCCCTTCCTCACTCAGGCGAGCGCGGCTTGTTGCTGCGCCCTTGAGGAGGTCGGAAAGTTGGGGCTGACTGAGGCTGGCGGAGCGACGGCGAAAGGCGGCAAGTCCGGGGCAAAAGGCGCTGCTCTGCCGCTTCCCTCACGGTCGTGTAACCGGGAAGAGAGGAGCGGGGGGGGGGGGGGCAGCCGGCAGGTGCACCGCCGCCGCCGCTTTGTCATCCCTCCCGGGGGAGGACCGAGCACTGCTCCTTGTGGCCACGAGGTGCGAAGGGAGACATTTGGGGAGGGGTGAAACGGGGGTGGGGGAGGGATGGGGCAGGAAATGGGGTGCGAGGCGCTGGGGAGCTTCGGCCGAGGCTGAGGAGATTTGGTGTGGGCAGCTGGGGCTTGTCAGTCACCTCTCTCTCTCCCCCCCCCCACACCACCCGATGAAAAGGGGGTTTAAATTAGCACCGTGGCAACATTTATTTATTTATATTTGTGTGCAGCCAGAAGAGGAAGAGGAGGAAATGATGGTGGTGATGCTGGACATACAACTCTGCTTCCTCGGTTTGGGGAGGGAGGCGGGAAGTGGTTTCTCCTGTTGCGCCAGGAGTTAAGGACGAGAGATTTGGAGGCAGATATGGTGAGAATACGGTGTCAGGGTTGGGTTTAGGAGAATAGGACTATTTGGAGGGATGCTTCCGACTTGGGAATCTGGGGTGTTGGATTTGTGGGGTGGATGTATCAGCAGGAGCAGGAGGGATTTGAATAAAAGGTTAGGCTGAGAAATGTGGTGCTGAGGCTGAGCTGTAAGGGCTTAGTGTGGAGCCGGAAAGACTAGACTCAAGAGTTGCAGTGGGGTCGGGGAGGGATGTCATGTCTAAACTGTGTACATTTAAAGCACAAAGAATGCTGGGGACTGTAGTTTGTTAAGGGTGCTAGGAACCATAGATCCCTGAGGGGTAAACTTCAGTTCCCAGGATTATTTGAGGGAAATAATGAGCTTTAATTGTGCATTAAATATATGGTGTGCACTGGTGATTATTTTCGAGGGGACCCAATGAATCAAGGATGCACAATTTGGTCTGTGTTTTAAGGACTTGGAATGCCTGTAATGGAGATGTAGAACTAGAGACTGTAGGCTGTTGTGGTGTAGTGATAAACAAATAACCCCATTTGTGACTGCTGTTTCTGTGTCCAAATTAAAAAAAAAAATGGATATAGGTGAGTGCTGTTAATATGGTGTGTGTTGTGGTGCATAAGAGGGAATAAGTAAACCTATAAGGAGCTGGAGTTAGAGAATGTAGAGTTGGAGCATTTTTCTATGCATCCCATGCCATTTGGAGGCTTTGATGTTTTGCAGAGCAGCTAAGCCATTTGTGTCTACAGTAACAGACTAGTACTTTCAAAATCTAATAAAATTCCAATTTAAAACATATGAAAGCTATTGAAACCGTTTTTTTCCTTTCACATCCCTTTTCCAGCTCAACACCAACCAACCAACCAACCAACCAAACTCAGTTCCCTCCCAAAAAGTATCTTCTGAAATATGTTTACCCTTGGTCTTAGCACATTTAATTTAACACAGGGACAGTACATTTTGGTTTACTGCAGTGGGGAAACCGATATGTCCATGTTTTATATGAAGCTGTTAAAATATGCTTTAAACAGACTTTAAAATGTGGTGTGATCACACAGCTATAGACGTATCAGAAGTGAGAACTGAGTCACAAGAATGTGGTGGTTGTTACTTTACATCTTCTGTGTGACAGCTAAAAAGTGTTGTCAGTGTGACTATCTTATGGCTTACCATACAACACATAATAAAGAATGTTCATTCAAATCTTATTGCCTCCTTTTGTGTAGGAGAAGCCATGAGATCTGATGAATTATGCAAACTTACAAAACTACTGGGATGTATGGGGTGTTGGGGGAAAGGTAGTACCTCTTCTGGGGTAGTTTGTCCACCTTTGGTCCCCCACCCTGCACTCAGCTGTCACCTGTGGCTCCTGGAAGCTGTCAGAACCCAACAGCAGCCACACCCTGGGAACAGCTTTAACTGGCTGGCTAAACCAGTGAGGGTAGCGGATGGGTTTCAGATCCTCTGCAAATTAGGGACTTTCCCTTCATGCAAAGACGGTCTCCAGGGGATTGAGCGGATGAGACCAATAGTGCTTTTCCTCAGCCTCATCTTCTGAAAAATAAATCACATCCAATTTCTCTCAAATTCCACAGCAGCAATTTGAAATTTTGCTCCACAGTGTGTTTTCAGGTGGTTTCCAAGGCTACAAAGAAAATAATAGAGGAAAAGCTGAAGGCCTTTTCCAGTGGAAACTGATGAATGCTGAATTAAAACGTGGCTTGGAACTGGGTAGTAGTAATGTCTTGACAAACATCTGAGAGCATTGGAATCCCAATTAGATTATACCAGCTATCTAGCAATTTTAACCCTTTCTCTTACTTTCAGTTGAGCTGCAATGGAGTTCAGAAGGGAATGGTTTTGGTGTGTTTTTTTAATTTGAAATATTTCAAGTAGCTTCCC